GAATCTGGCCCCAGCACTCTTAACAGCGCTCACCTCTTACACCTTAATTGCTGCAACATTGAATAATGAAAATATTAACTTTTCAATATACAGCAATTGTTCTTGTCAGCCAATGTTCCGCACAGCGATACGCGTTACCTGTTAAACAAGCCATTTAATACCGCTAATAATGTTAGCATTAACTTGACGCCAAGTTCTTTTGCCATTATTGGACAGGCTCTTGGTGTAGAGCAATTATTAGCCATTGTCTCGGTTCTCGGATAATTGTAGTATAAAGCGATAGTCTTCAACTATTCGATAATTCGAGGCGTTTATTCAATTACCTCAAGTTGGTCTCAAGACCCACACATTGCCTCGGCCCACACATTTGGCCGAGATAGAGCACTGCTGGGACCCAGAAGTGACGCGAGAGTTATTCCCAGAAGTATTCCCAGAAGTACTCCCAGAAGTACTCCCAGAAGTACTCCCAGAAGTACTCCCAGAAGTACTCCCAGAAGTACTCCCAGAAGTACTCCCAGAAGTACTCCCAGAAGTACTCCCAGAAGTACTCCCAGAAGTACTCCCAGAAGTACTCCCAGAAGTACTCCCAGAAGTACTCCCAGAAGTACTCCCAGAAGTACTCCCAGAAGTACTCCCAGAAGTACTCCCAGAAGTACTCCCAGAAGTACTCCCAGAAGTACTCCCAGAAGTACTCCCAGAAGTACTCCCAGAAGTACTCCCAGAAGTACTCCCAGAAGTACTCCCAGAAGTACTCCCAGAAATACTCCCAGAAATACTCCCAGAAATACTCCCAGAAATACTCCCAGAAATACTCCCAGAAATACTCCCAGAAATACTCCCAGAAATACTCCCAGAAATACTCCCAGAAATACTCCCAGAAATACTCCCAGAAATACTCCCAGAAATACTCCCAGAAATACTCCCAGAAATACTCCCAGAAATACTCCCAGAAATACTCCCAGAAATACTCCCAGAAATACTCCCAGAAATACTCCCAGAAATACTCCCAGAAATACTCCCAGAAATACTCCCAGAAATACTCCCAGAAATACTCCCAGAAATACTCCCAGAAATACTCCCAGAAATACTCCCAGAAATACTCCCAGAAATACTCCCAGAAATACTCCCAGAAATACTCCCAGAAATACTCCCAGAAATACTCCCAGAAATACTCCCAGAAATACTCCCAGAAATACTCCCAGAAATACTCCCAGAAATACTCCCAGAAATACTCCCAGAAATACTCCCAGAAATACTCCCAGAAATACTCCCAGAAATACTCCCAGAAATACTCCCAGAAATACTCCCAGAAATACTCCCAGAAATACTCCCAGAAATACTCCCAGAAATACTCCCAGAAATACTCCCAGAAATACTCCCAGAAATACTCCCAGAAATATTCCCAGAAATATTCCAGAAATATTCCCAGAAATATTCCCAGAAATATTCCCAGAAATATTCCCAGAAATATTCCCAGAAATATTAAGATCAAAATATTACTCACGTGTCCTCTGGCGTGGTCGCTGGAGGCTTACCTGGGGAGAGAGAAACATACATTATTACACCACTCTGAAGTGAAGTGAGAATGAGGCAGACTGTGATTAATGGCAATGAAAAGGATGAGGTCCTATGAGGTCCTATAAATGAAGAGGATGAGGTCCTAAGTTGACACTAAGGCACCATAGTCAGGCGGCCGAGTCGCCCAACAACCTGCCCTCCTATAGAACGTCGCCATTCTGATGTATACTCGACCAAGGGTGAAAAATTGTCGTACTAGAAAATGGTAGCGGCTCGCGAAATTGACATACTGTCCCGCTTTCTGTCTGACATACTATCACGAATCCCGAGCGATGTCCACTCAGCCGTCAGACCCCCTCAACATGCACTTGTTATACACCGAAAAGTGTAAACCAACTTCTCGGTGTAGTTTACCTCAGTCGTGGTCCTGAAGTATGCTGCTGAGGACTAAGGTATACTTAGTATGGGTGTTGAGTAAGTTCTGGTGGTGTGCCATACGTCAGGCTGCGAACAGCCGCGTCCAACAGCCTGGTTGATCAGTCCGGCAACCAGGAGGCCTGGTCGACGACCGGGCCGCGGGGACGCTAAGCCCCGGAAGCACCTCAAGGTAACCTCAAGGTGGCCTCAGAGCCCGGGCTCCCGCGGGTGACAGGGTTTTAAGCCCAACACCAAGCCTAACACCTCTCCCATGAGCCGCGTTTCAGTGGCCTCTTTTGTAACCTAAATAGTCCCATTACCGAGGACGGTGGCCAGAGGAGACCACCCGTCAGTGTCACCCGAGTGTGTCGTAACTCTATATGTTGGAGGCGTCGGGGCTGTGCCTCGGGGGAGGTGGTGGGCAGGAGGTGAAGGAATATCCCCCCCCCCCCCGAGGTCCTGCTCAAACAACTGTCCTCGCTGAAGGACACGAAACTCAATATATGAATGACAAATGTCCGTAGAGTGTCCGCTGGTGCGGAACCCGTATCGTTATTTGGATGTT